CGTCAGTGTTTCTATTGGTTGAGCCGCAAATGTGGGGCTTGCTAGGCCGCATCGAATTTCACATAGAGGTCAATAGGAGCTCCTGTGTGCGGGGCTTCTAGGGTTTCTGTGGTCGTGTTGTCATGCTCTCGACGCAAGATTTTAGCGTCCCGGAAGGCGAGCGCGTTTCCAAAATTTGAATAGTCTTCCACCGCCAGAATTGAGAGATCCATCCGCTCTGCGTGCAAGCGTCCGTGGTCGCTTGTCCTCTAACGTTGCTCACGTCATACCCACCGCATTTGACCCGACAGACCATGTACTCCGTTTCGTCTCCTGACAGGTATGCCCTACGAGATGACTGACTGCCGTGGAAGGATTGCCGATACAAGCGAAAATGCAAGTTCCAGGAACTAGTTGATCAGAAGAAGAAGAAGCAATTGTTCCAGCGATCGCTTCTTCTTCCGTGGAAGGATTGTTTGGAAGTGCTCTTCAGGCTTTACTTGTTCCGTCTTTGAACACTGGTTTAAACTGCCTGCCGAGTTGACGAAGTCCCTGGCATACCGGCTAGCATGAAGTAGATGGGGGCGTTCATCCACTGTAGTTCCTGTCGTTGCAGTACGTATTCAGTTTCCTACGGGAAGTTCGCACACATCTGCACTCGTGTTATAGTCCGTGCCAGCTGTGGTGTTTCAGGATTTTATGCATGTTTATGGACTTCCGAGTTATACCGTCACATTCTGGTTTCCACTTGTCTTTTAGTGTGTTATTACCGACAAACACAAGGGAGACTGAAATGGCCATTTCTGGCTTATTAGCCATCATCAGCCAGTCATACCTAACCCCGAAGTGTGGAACACCCGGGGCCCGAACTCGCGACCTGTTAGTTAGAAGTCCAACGCCTCTAACCACTGGACCACGGACTCGTTGTATTCTCCGTCGCGATCGGGAATATACAATGGTAGGGGACGCTCATCGATCGTTCATACGGAACTCACTCGTTCCGTTGTGCCTTAATGGCTCTCTCTCGAGCCCAACCAGCAGCCATACAGCGGCGCACGATATAGGCAGAATAGCATTATCGACAAGGACAAGGGATGGCCATTTCTGGCTTATTATCCGTCAGCCAGTCATACCTAATCCCGAAGTGTGGAACACCCGAGGCTCGAACTCGCGACCTGTTAGAAGTCAACGCCTCTGGGCCACGCACTGGGTCACGCGTCCGTTGCCCTGTCGGTTTCGATCGAGAATATACAATGGTAGGGGACGCTCAACGATAGGGACGTCCAGGAACGGCGGCTGGTTGTTGCCCTCCGCCTGCATTTTGAACAGATTTCAATGTTTCATAGGCCTCTGATACCACTGTCCGCTTGAAGGTTTTAAGAGTATCGTTGACATATCCAGTCCGATATCGTGGTCTATGGCTCGTGGTAATTGGCTTATTTATTTTTCGATGAGTTCCTCTGCGACGAAGTCTGAAGTCGGTGATTCCATCGTCGTACCCTTAATTTGCTTATACGCTGTCACTTAGGAGTGTAGTGCCTCCTGAATCAGTCGGTTGGGCTGCCCTCTTTTCAACGTCTTGCTCGACTCCCCGCAATGCCTCTCATATAGTCGGGCTCGAAGTAAGGATAAGGATTACAGTAAGTGATCTTATGACCGCACCGGCGTCGATTTGCGTACTGTCGAGTCTGCTAACATCTGAGTAGCTCGACTGACTGCTGTAGGTGACTCCTATGTGTGGAATTCTAAGCGTCACAACAGTCAGTCTTCCCAGTGAGGCATTGAGTCTTTGTTCTATAGGTTGGCGAATATTTTTTGGAGTCACGCTACCAACCTCTTCACCAGCTCTCCGTCACATTGAAGATCTTCATTTCCATCCTCCAGGAGCGCATTTGCCTCCTCAAGGCATTTGGCCCTGTCGTATGCGGTCGTAGAATGCCCTTGTCTGCTAGTCATGCCACAATGCCTATGTTAGTGTTGTGAGAGCATCCTTTTCCGTCACACCGTCACTGGTGTTCCCCGCCACTTCCGAAAAAAACAAAATTGTCGGGAAGCCTCAAGCCAGTTAATTGATTTATGTCCATCATCCCTCTAGACTAAAGTTGCTACATATGGGTCGTATTGACGGCACACCAAACACTTACAAATTTCCCATTTATTATGATCTTCTTTTAGTCGGCTTCCCAGCCCATTGGGTCAGGCTAGGACTTCATAGCAGTATAGTAGTATATTTTAGGATAGTAGGCTATGCCCTTGACCCTATTAAAACGGCGCGTACTATGTAAATGTTAAATGCACATCGTACTAACGTTTTGCCAGTAACATATTAGTTTGCGTATAAGTTTTTACAGTGCTGGACTGCGAAGGCCGCGGCAGGCGGTTTTTTCCATGTAACTATTCAATGTGAAGTGGGGAACAGAAGAACGTACGGGGGATTTACTGCGTTCATGGGGGCCCCCATTCTACATGACTGGGCACGTAATTGCCCAAAGTCTAAATCATAGGAGACAGGACTGTTAGGATAGTTCACACTTTGAAGGGGCAAAGAGACGGTCTGCATAGGTAGTTGGGTGGCCTGCGTAGTTCTATAGGCGATGGACCAGTTCACGAGGCTAAACTAGCATGCCAGCAGAATTCCGATTCTGGTGATGCTTGGTCATTCGACTGGACCGCCTAGTTGGCTGAAGGGTGCCCATACAGGGCTTGCCGCTACGGCAGGGGAAGAGGTGAGGGCGGTAGCTTCGGCCCTTATCGATCACTTGATGTTCGCTGGCCGGCTTAAGCCAGTTTTGCTCGATCTGATCTCGTATTCATGCCACCAGCCCGCCCAAAATGCTATAGGCAGAATGACATTATCGACAAAGACAGGGGAGACTGGAATGGCCCTTTTGGGGCACATTAGCCGTCGTCAGCCAGCCAAGCCCAACCCCGAAGTGTGCAACATCTGGGGCTCGAACCCCCAACCTGGTGGTTAGAATTCTAACGCCCTAACTCCTGAGCCGGGGACTCGTTGTCCTTCCGGCTGCGATCGGTTAGATGGGAGCGCATAGATCGCGTCACGGAACTTACTCATCCTGTTATGTCTCAGTGGTTAGAGGCCTTGGACTTCCAACCAACAGGTCGCGGGATCGAGCCCCAGGTGTCCCACACCTCGGGGTTGGGTATGACTGACTAACGACGGCAAATAAGCCAGGAATGTTCATTCCAGTCTCCCTTGTCTTTGTCGGTAATGTTATAAACAACACTTTCAGTGAAAACGTTGTTCTCTAAACGTTTATTTTCTTCAAAAGCTCCCCGTCGCCGTCGTCAGCTGAGAGCCTTATCTGTTAGTAAACATAAATGGTCTTACACAAATAAAAGTGACGAAATGGCAAGTCAGTTCAGAAGTCTCAAAATTTTCTTCACAGGTGACAATTCTTTCACTTTCAGATTTCTTCACAAATGGCATTTTCAGGGAATTTATCCGTTCAACGGGCTTTCGCAAGGTTATCGCTGGGAAGGTTAACAGAGTTGCCACTCAGGTTGTAGAAGTATATTTTAAAAGCGCCTCTAAAGCACGAAAACGTTTGGTTCTTTGAGTCCCCCAGTTTGGAACAGAGCTCGAGCTCTAAGACCTTCCGTCTTCAAATACTCATATCTGTCTTCAAATGCGCCCGTGGAAACTTCCAAAAGCAAGCTGACTAATTTGAACAAAGCAAACGTCACAAATGAAGCAGATTGTATATGTGTCGAAGACTGTCAACACCTCTCGCTCACGTATCCGGAGTCGTCGCATAGATACAGGACTGGGTTCGCGGCTTGTGGAAGCAGTACGGAAAATTAAAATGGTATAAGATGGCTTGATCGCAGGAAGGAACCCGATTAAAATGATATCTCGTAATTTGATGACGCCACTGAATTGACCTTTACTCGCAATCTCGGCCTTCACAACAGTTAATGATTATCCTCATCTATGAATGACGCAAGCCTTGTAGTCATCTGATGGATTCTAGGTGAATTACTTAGGAAATCCTGCCTGGACAGTCAACCTACTGTATCAGATTTGGTGGATTCCAGACGTCGCGGTAGGTTGGGTGCGTATACTTGACCCAAATGTGATTAAACTCGCGACGTCCAGCGGGGCCTCTTAGCTCAGGTGGTTAGGGCGTTGGCTGTACCAAGGCCTTCTCCATACTGCGTGGGTTCGAATCCCACCGAGGCGCCGAGTTTTTCACGGCTGGGTCAATATGAATTATTTAAAATCTGCCAAACCATCTATGAATATCCTCATATTCGACGAAGTAGTTGCTCTTCGTCTTCCAGCTGTTTATTATCTAGTCCAGGAGGTTTCCACGCATCTAGCTGCCAACCAGAGTGGGCATATCGTTCAGGAAAGAATACCGACAATGGGACGGGCACGTCTCTATTGCCCTTCCACCATAGTCAGTATTCCCGATCACAACCGACTGGACAACAACTCCGTGGCGCAATCGCACAGCTTCGGACCAGTTGTCGCTTGCTGCACAAAAAACCCGGCCTCGAATTCCAGACCATGCAGACCTGTGTTGGGTATGTCTGACAGATGACGGCTGATAAGCCAGAAACGGCCATACCAGTCTCTCCTGTATCGGTCAGTATTCCTTCCGGCACCTGCCACTGTTCGCTATGCGACTACCTGCGAAAGTTCAAGACAGAGCTCCACCTGATCGGTGGTGAACGTCCTTCCACTATAAAATTTAGTTCAGACATTTCTGAAGAAATATTGCGTGATTCGGCCTTTTCGACAGTCGCTCGAGGTTTGTCAGTCCTCGTTGGCGTCACTGTTGAGCGTAATGTCAACAGCAGTTGGAACGTTCGCACTCATCGTCTTCAGTAAGGATCCTGCCTCAAAGTCATTTTTATGCAGATCATTTTTTGAGCAGATCGTGCATGCTCAGTAACGAAGCGGGGATTCACACATCCCGTTGTGCCTTTTGGCTCTCCCTCGAGTCACGCCAACAGCTGCACAGCAGCGCGTAATACAGACAGAGCAGCATTACCAACAAAGACAAGGGGGGACTAGAGTGCCGTCTCCGGCTCGTAACGCGACGGGTGTATCCCCCTCTTCCAGGCTATATTGTCTGTGATGTAGGTTTACTTGCCGACAAACTACGCCTATCTTCTCCTGTTTTGCTTTATCCTCCAGGTGGAAGGCGCGAAGGAGGAGCCGCCCCTGCCTGAACCCCCAGAACCTCAGCAGTCTGTTCCGCTAGTGAGCGATCTCCTGTCCTACTACTTCAGTCTCTGCAACCAGAACAGGAAGGAGGAGGAGGAGGAGGGGCAGGGGAATGCGACGGCAGCAAGCAAAACCGAAACCATCAACCATGACCTGCAGTGCAGCAGTTCCAGCGACTCACGTCTGGCTGCCTTTCCCTGTCTAAAACCCCTCCAAGAGGGTTTCACCATTGAAACGCCGACTGATCTCCTGGCTGCCATCAAGCACCAACAGTGGACCCTGCTTGCCACACTGTCCTCCTCAAGTCTGGCCAACCTACTCACCGAGAGCCAGCCCAGCAATGGAGGCGACGCTGTTATGGCACCTCCGATGGAACCCCGAGGGGGCGCACAGAGTCCCCTAGTGGCGGCCATCATCGCCGGTGAGGGCAGACCCTACCTGCTGCAACGTCTGCTGGACTGTGGTGGTGATCCCAACTTTGTGGACCCCCTGTCGGGTTGGCCTTTGCTTGTGATTGCTGCCTACTTTGGTCGAATTCAGGCGGCGCAGGTGTTGCTGGAGGCCAACGCGCATCCCAACGCTGCGGTGACTGTGAATGGTCGGTGGATGACAGCTCTGGCCGTTGCCATCACTGCCGGGGATGTGGATATGGCCAGCTTGCTCATCCTCTATGGGGCGAACTTTTACAATGTACGTTTACCCCTTTCTGAACCTCCTCCTTGTTATCGTCTTATTCGCCCCGCCTTCATCACCTGCATAATTGTTATTAAGTTAGGCATCTCCGAAAATTATTAATTCAAGACTGATGCATAAATGCACAGCGCTGATGGTAACAGTTTATTGTACCTGTTACATGATCACTGGAACTAGGGCCTTATTCGCCGGACGTTTCAGATTCCGGCTCGAACCTATCATCGGAGACAATAGCAGATGCGGGTATTTCATGCACAATGAACTGCAGGATGCAGTCGCCATGCTACCGCACGGCTCCCCCCTTAATCAGGGATTGTTGCACTTGGTGTAATGATTGTTTGATAGCCGACATTCGCGTTGCTAATCCCTGCAATTTCGTTACGGGTGTTGGATGTTGGTGTGATGGTTGCTCAGCCATCTGACCCACAGTGTTCGTCTGTGCGCTCCCCGCGTAAATGATTACTCCGCCTAGGCGAAGTCGCAGCACCGAATGTGTAAGGGGAAGGTCGTTGCACTTGCTAATAGACTGGGGAGCAGTGTGCCATGACGCAAGCAGCTCGCGGCTTGCGCGATTGTCACCTCTTGCGAGAATTTTGGCCTCATCAAATTTAAATGTGTGGCCGGATCTCGTCAAATAAGCCACAACTTGAGAGCTGGTATCATTTATACGCACTGCTGCCACGTGCTCGGCCATTCACTGTCGGGGCAGTCTTCCGGTTTCTCCGACGTACTTGCTTTGTTCGCAACTGCACCAGATCCGATAAACTACCACAGACGTTTCTAGCCCTGGTAGTAGGTCTTTCAGTCTCATTACCTGACGCCTGATGGTTGCCTCCGGTCTGTGTGTAACTCCAACCCCAAGTGGTGCGAGAAGGCGACCGACAGCTTCCGAAAACGTTCTTGACATACGGAAGCGCTCGCCAAAATTTGGTGTCCGTACGGTTTGGCCTTTCGTTCCTTTTGCGTATGCACCGTTTGACGAAGTTGCGCGGCTATCTATTGGCTTTGGAGACCAGCCGGAGGTATTTTAGTTCGTCAAACTTGTCTTCGGGCTCACTGCAGTGCGTTTCGACACGCCGATAGAGCGTCCTTACACAACTGCGTTTGTGGCTGATTGGGTGGTTGCTGTTGAAGTTCAGGACTTGCATCGTATTTGTCGCATTTCTCAACACTTGGGTCTTAAGGCCACCAAATTTTTGCGGCATACGAGGACATCCAGGAAGGCCAGCTGGTTGTTCTCTTCCTCCTCCATTGTAATTTATATGTCCAGGAAGACTGCATTCAGACGTTCCTTGAATGTCAGCAGTTGATCCCGGTCGATAACGACGAAGGTATCATCCACATACCGGACCCAGAACTTCCGTCTGTGGTGTTGGAAGACCAGCGACTCTGACCGTTGCAGGACCGCCTCGGCGATGAATTCCGAAATCGGCGAACCTATTGGTATGCCCTTCACCTGTTCGTAGATTGTCCTGTCGAACGTGAAGTACGTCCTGAGACAGAACTTCAGGAGCTGAAGGTCTTGGGCGCGTCCAAGACGATTCTCCGTTTCATCGTATTTGCTTTGTAGAAGCAGTTAGATTGTCATAATCGCCAGGTCCTGGGGATTTATTTGTCATTTTCCTGAACATTTTAGCCTTGAGGTCGTCACAGTATTTGCGACATACAAGGACACCCAGTAAGGTCCGCTGGCTTTTTCCTTTCTCCCCCATCCTACGGACGTACAATTTACGACACAAAGGACATTAGTTAGGCGGACGGAAGGGATGAGCGGAATATCCAAAGATATATTGTGTGGTTTGTCTCGCTCTCTAGCCAAACGCCCCTGATGCGCTTTTAAACTACTCCATGTATTGCCCTCTTGTCGGATTTAACCCTTTGAGTTTACTGCGGACTCTATATCGCCGGCGTATCGAACAGAAGGCGATAATTTAGACGCCCTATAGTTCAGTTCAGTACAGTTCAGTATGTTTAAGGGTAATAGACGATGTCTTGGTTATCGAGTTATGGGTAAGATGTGATTTGGTAGCCCCACGTGGTGGACACAATACCGTTAGGGTTTGGGTTAAGGGTTAGGGGCTTTGGTTAGGGTTAGGTCGGGGTTAGGGGTTAGCGCAACTATTTCTCACACATCCAAAGTACAACCGCGCATTACCAATAGCTAGAATTATTGATCATGACAAGTTTTGTATGAATTAAAGCTAATGTACTTCTTTTGTACGGCATTGTACTCGCTTTCTGACTATTATATCCTGGAGGAATGCCTATTTTAATTAGCGTGTCAGGAACACGTCACATGGTTTGAAATGCATACTGCCGCATCTCTACTGTTAACATGACGGTCAAAAGTCATCGCGGCACTCATGTATCCTGGTGATGCCCTGCCACTAACCAGTAAACATGCCGTTTGCTTAAAAAGGCTTTCAAATAGAAAATAAATGCAATTGTGTAATTATTTACCATACTGACAATACAGATACTATCTAAAGGCTTTTAGCTATTACCTGTGTATACTGCGGGCTGCCTATTGGCGGTTTGTGAATATTAAACGATTATTCCGCAGTAGCTCATGGATTTCAGCTCAAATATTCATATCAAACTTTGGACCGTGCCTGAAAAGGCACGCTTCGGATGATTTACCCCAAGTTCGCGCATTAATTTCCTCGGAAATAAAACAAGGCAAAGAAAGAAATATCTACCTGACTTGTGGTTTTGATCGGCATGGAATGTTGTTCAAATGTAATTAATTTTGCTGGGGATTTTTTCAATTTTTAATATTAATCACAATCGCGTAAGTAATTTGTATCTTGTTCGAGAGGTTGGCGGCGCTAGTATGTATATTCCTTATTTTGACGACAGGCACAAGTAGACTGGGAGGGTTAAAAGTCCTCATACTCGTCATAAAATTCAAACGCACTTTTCTCTGAAGGAGCAAATTTCAGATCGCTGTAATATGCTTAGATTGATGCGAGTTTCGAAGATCAGTAGTAAAGGCCCATGCTAGTTTTAGGGCGACCTGTTTTACAGTGGTCTGTTGTCTTTCTCGAAGGCAGGCGTAATAAAAGCATCGCAGCAGTTTGTGAACACCGGGTTATTTCCGGATTTGAACCGAGAAGTCATGCACTCAGTCAGCCGATTAAGTCGGTTGGAGGGGAGTGCTTTGACACTTCCGGCTTTGCTGTCGCACTAACACGTCTACATAGATGCGTGATCATACTACTAAAATAGTATTAGTAACGCAGTTTTTTCGTTTTATTGCACCTACCATGCGTTAAATAGGCACTGCATGTTACCCTCAAACATGGTTTGCCTGTTGTTATCGATGCTGCACGAGCAATGGGTGATACGTCCAGATGTGTCCGAGTTGGCCAGTGAGTATCGTAGGCCGCAGGAACAGGTGGGATGGGTAAGGGGGCGGCGGTTCTTGGTCCGTCTCGTGATGCTGTTTTCATGCAGAAAACTGCTCTAAGGAATGTCTTAAACGCATGAATCATATCCTTGTGAGAGCCCCCCCCCACTGGGTTTTAACAGCGCTTAAGACAGCCCTTCGTTTTACGGCACATTAGCCTTGTTGGAACGGGGACATTTGGCATCTAATTCCGTGAAACCTAACTCCTAAGTCCACATCAATTCGGCAATCACGGTGACTGTTTTTTCCAACCCAGAATTAACAAATGCTGCTCTGCAAACTCACCGTTTCTTGTCATAGTTACTAACCCCAGATGCGTTGGTGAGTGTTTATTCCTGTGAGATTTGCTCTGTGTGACTTTGACATTGCCTGATATGATAGACTCATCTTTCGACCCAATAGGTTGAGGAAAACACAACAGCAATGAAACTAATCATGACAATCCTGAGAGCCATCACCTCTGGCTGCGAAGAATCCCCTTCGAACAAACCAGCCTCCTCCTCCTCCTCCAACTACGGCGGCGGCGCCGCCGTTAGTAACTGTGGCACCACTATAACCGTTTACGGCACTCGGCTCAACGAGGATGGCGCCTCCTCCTCCTCACTGGCCGACCGATTCCCCATCAGCCGCCTGCACCGGCGCGTCAGCAGTGGCTTCGTTCTCCCTCCGCCACGACCGTCTGCGGACATCCTTCTGCCACGCTCTCCCTACGACCACCTAGTGCCGCCCGCCAACAGCACCACTTCGGCGCATCAGCTCTGTCCCTCCGCTCCTCCCAAGGCCGCTTGGGAGACCACCAATCGCCTGCCCTCGGCGGCTGCGTTGAGTCGCATCTACGAGGTCATTGCCTGTCACCATGCGCGTCTTTCCCTGGCCGTGGACACACTCCTGCGTCGTTGGCTCATCTCCACTGGTCTGGTTCAGGATGCGGTCATCATGCCCTGTCAGTGGATCACGGTGCAGCAGAGGGAGTTCTCACTCGCCTTCTGCACGCCGACGCCTCTGGCGGACGAGAGTGTACTCCTCCTTCTTCTCATTCACGGTGTGGTTACGCCCCCGGGCTGCTATCACGTCTGGATGCAGGATGATGGTCCCTGCTATGTGCAGGAGGTGTTGCTGGGTGCCTGCCATCAGCAGAAAGCCCTCGGTCGACAGAAGTTCGTCACCACTCTCTTCCCTCTGGCTCGTGGACCGGTGAAGCAGACGGTCACTGTACGTCTGTTGCCCACGGAGGACCGTCAGAGTCGTAGGGTCTGTATAGCCGCGTCAGTCATTTCTGTGAAACGTCGTCGCGCTCCCAGTGAGCGGGCTTGAACAGTCACACACACGCCCCCATCCTCGTGACTGGCTAATGCATAATGAACTTGCTAGCCGTGATGCGACACGGCACCGTACATCTAGGGCCGAGTGCCTTTTTTAACATGAGAAGCTGACTGTCCTTTCTTGCCAACTTATATGCGCATACTATCCTCGTCCTGAAGTGATACGCACAAACGTCTTGTGATACACAACTCCCACTGGAAGAACGTCTCCTGTGATCTCTCCTTAATCTCCCACTCTCCGGTTAGGTCTTTCACTCACCCCCCGTCCACTCCCCCTTGCTTCTTCTCTCGCTTACACTACTCTCTTGGCTTTTTTGCATCAGGGGCTGTTTTCTCGTTATTCTGACAGTTTTATTCTCTCAAAACCGACGTCCCCAAGTCCGCTTGTGCGCGTTTTTTCATTGTTTTGACGCCTTGTAGGTTGCCGATTGTCTGACACCCCATGTTATTCATTCTTTTCTGTGATGCATACGTACTTTTTCTCGAATCGTACCGGAATGTAGCTGATTTCGAATAATTCCTTCTGTTGTCATCTCTCAAAGTAATGCGTCGCGCAAATCTTGATTTCGAACTCGTTCGGGAGCACTGAGGATAGGCAAGGTGGAGATGCTGTGTTCTGACAGTTGTGTAAGAGCTACACGAGCTTCTCGCAGCAAATGGCTGTCTGTTGACCCCCTGTTGAGGGCGTTTCGCAGTAATCTATCATTCAGTTCAAGTGGTGGTATAGGTGGGCATCGCTATTCTCGTTTAACGGAAAACTCTCGTGGGGAATGTCTTCCGGTGGTTTGAAAACCGAACTGCGGCTTGGTGGATAGAAATTGCGTGGGACACCTTGGTGGAGGTATGGTTCTCCTCGGCAGCTGGATCGGTTGGGGCCGGTTTCGCTGTCCTGGTCACGGGTGTAAGCGCAATGTGGTGGATTGAAGACCAAAGTGTTCAGGACATCGACAAATACCATGCAAGTATTGAACTTCAGCAGCAACCACCCAATCAGCCACAAACGCCATTGTGTAAGGACGCTCTATCGGCGTGTCGAAGCGCACTGCTGTGAGCCGGAAGGCAAGATTTCCGAACTACAATATCTTCGAAGGCTCTTCAAAGCCAATGACAACCCGCGCAACTTCGTCAACCGGTGCATACGCAGAAGGGTCTAAAATGTCTAACCGAATGAACACCAAATTTTTGTGAGCGCCTCCGTACGCCAAGAACGTTTCAGAAGCCGTCGGCCGCCTTATAGCACCACTGGGGCATTAGAGTTGCACACAGACCAGAGGCAACCATCAGGCGTTTATCGTATCTGATGCATTTGCGGACAAAATAACTACGTCGGATAAACCGGAAGACAGCTTCGAACGCGAATGACCGGACACGCGGCAGCGGTGCGGAGAAATGATGCCAGCTCTCAAGTTGCGGCTCATTCGACAAGATCCGGTCACACATTTAAATTCGACAAGGCCGAAATTCTCGCAAGAGGTGACAACCGCGTGAGCCGGGGGACTGCTCGAGTCAGGGTTTACTGCCCCCCCCCCCATTCCATTAACAAGTGCAATGAACTTCCTATGCCTTAATCGGTGCTGAGACTTCGCCTAGGCGGAGTAATTAGCCACGCGGGCAGCGCACAGACGAACAGTGTGGGTCAGATGGTCGAGCAAGCATCACACCAACATCCAACACCCGTGACGGAATTGCAGCGATTAGTGACGCGAATGTCGGCTATCAAACAATCATTACACCAAGTGCAACAATCCCTGATGAAGGGGGGGGGGTGCATGAATTTTCATAAGTGTGCGGTAGCATGGCGACTGCATCCTGTAGATACTGCAGTCCTTTGTGTATGAAATACCTGCATCTGCATGTCTTAAAAGATATCTGGCATCTGACGCATTTCGACCAAGGAAGGCATCTTTACTGGCTCGGATGATTTAAGAGCGTACAGGGGGCCACAAGCTGCGGGAAATCGCTTTTCACGGTGCTGTTAAAATAGGTTCGATGAACGATAGATGCTACGGTAGGATTGAGGGTATCAGCGTGCACGGGCAGATAGGTGATCACAGATGGAAATTGATCACATGAGCGCTTGGCCAGAGCACATATTTTTGTCGAATGAAGGCAAAATATCGAGTTCCAGGTGTATGCATAAGTGTCCTCATCCAACATGAACCGGTGTTTTGGCGCCGTTACGTAGACGGCATGTTTGTCATCGTAAGGAAGGACATGCTAAACATTTCCACAACCTGCTCAACGCAGTCCTTTTGGACTTAAAATTTCTGAGGAAATAAGAACAGGAACAGCATTTGTCCTTCCGAGATTTGCTTGTCAGACGAAACTTTACCGGTGAACTTGAAACGACGGTTTATAGGAAAGCAACGAACACCACACAGCACAACCAGCAACCATCCGGTGGCTCAAAAACGAAGCTGTGTGAAGATGCTCTTCAAACGGATCCAAACTCACTGCAGCAAACCGGAGGACAGAGCACGTCAGGCCCGTTATCTCCGCGACCAGTGTGTGCAAAATGGCTATCCGAGGGCACTCATACGCCGCTGCCTACGCGGTCGCCAGCAGAGGACTCGGACATCAACACCACCGACGATAGGGTATTCTCTGTCATACATCAACGGCGTTCCAGAAGCGACTGGGCGCATCGCTGCGAAGCTAAGTGTTCGAATTGCACACCGCCTCAAAGCCACCGTGCGCAATAGGGTCATGAAAATCAAAGACTGGTTAAAGACTGAAGAGCAATCTGGAGTAGTGTATCGCCTTCCCTGTCAAAATTGTCCTTGTAACTACACCAGACAGACTGGGCGCATGCTCGGATAGCGCATACACGAACATATGCTGACTGTGCGGCGAGGCGACGAATTATCACAAATGGCCGCCCACACCTACGAAATGGGTCACGTGTTTGACTTCGCAGCCGCCAAAATAGTCGCCCACGCCGGAAGCAAAACAGGCCGAGAATTGATTGAAGCCTGGGCTTCGGATGAGAACTCGGTCAATCGATTTATCGATCCGGCGCCGGCGTACGGAGCCCCACCTCCAGTGTTGGGCCGTCGGTCGGCGATTGGCCTACATACCTTATAATTGCCGTTTGCTCTGCTGCTGCTGCTACCTCTGACGATGGACTCCTGTACAAGTCTGAGAGCTCAGGACAATAGACAAAGTGTTCCGGTGCTCGACTCTACTTCTTGTTCACTTATATATATTTTTGTATTCCCCCGACTGGATCTATGAAAAAGCCACCTGCAGCTGTCTTTCATGAAACAGCAGAGGCAACCCAGAAAGATGAATTCAGGAAAACGGGGTTTTGGTCAGTCAGCCCAACTTCAGGTCTCCGCGGTGGCGTCAGAAAGTCCCGCCATGTTACCATGGCGATGTTGACAGCCGTCACTCGTATCCCCTACCGGGTTGGGATCTCTGCCTAAAGACTAAAAAGACACATACGACACGGCAAGTATTGGTTGCCATCCAGTAAAACTGCATCCGCCTCAGTCCGACACAAACATAGATCGGTGAGCACCCTCTACCCCCAGTTAGTGAACCCAATCGCAACCGGCAGGACAGTGAGCCCGTGGCTAGAGCGCTGGACTTCCAGCCAACTGAACGCGGACTCGAGCCCAAAGGGGGCAGCAAGTCTGAGACTGTATGGCTGACTGATGACAGTCAATAAGCCAGAAACACCCATCCAAGTCTCCTGAGATAGTACGATATACAACGCTCGACAATCACGGCAACGAAATGCAAATGTGTTACAGGACACTATACTAACAGCACAGGCACCAGCTAAAGGCCCGCCGATATTCTGCCGCTGTATGGCACAACTGCGCCGCTCTTCAGCGGGTTCCCCAGCATCTTCCGTGTGCCTTCCGATAGATACTCCAGTTCTGAAATTGCAGCTTTTTAATCCCATCGAAAACTAACCGTTAACTTGGCATAAGTCAGTCTATTTGAGACTTTTAGGCCCAGACTGAATTTTGATATGAATATTTGGACCGAAGTCCATCAGCCACTGCGGAACAACCGCGTAATATTCACAAGCTGCCAACAGACAGCATGCAGTATATGCTGAGGTAGCACGGCATGCCGGCGGAGACCCACTGATGAGCCGAACCCCCGCAGCTGTGCCATGCGGCGGCAGAATATCCTCGAAACACGTAGCCGGGCTCTTAGCTAGTACAGTGAGTGACCTATCTCATGAAATGTTGGCTGAAATTCTGAAATGCGTTTTCGATAAGGAAGGATTACTTGGCCGCGGTTGTAATACTGCTTATCTTGCGGCATACTCTTATAACATTTCCGACTCGGCAGGATGTTGGCTTTTAAATGCACTTCTTTTCAACGTCCTGTAGAAAGCGTACTTGGTAAAAAATGACTACTTAATAAGCATGCATTTTTCCCATTGATTTTCGATGGTGTTGCAAATTCAAATATATTTTATAGAAACCACAAACAAAATATGCTTTCTTTTAGTCAATCAATAGAGAATCACGTCTTCTCTATATTTTATGCTTAAGGAGGGAGTATAATTAGGTTTTAAAAACGTTTCTAATTAGGAGACTTTTTAAGACAGCGATATGTTCATTCACATAGCATCGTACCTGGCCGTTTACCATTGCTCCTCATGAAATGTACAAGATGGTCCGCATCCATTGCAAAATTTTATGGACCCTGTATGATATCTCTTTAATGACATAGAAAAACATGGTATTTCCCTTACGCGGAACGCATGCACCTTGCAGACTGAAATTACTAAGCGCTAATGCAATGAATGATCAGACTCCAAATTATTCGGCAATTGGAAAACTTTTTTAAAACCTAATTATACTCCTTTCTTAAGAATAAAATATAAAGAAGACGTGATTCTCTATTGATAAATTAAAATAAAGCACATTTTTATTTATGGTTTCTATAAGATACATTTGAATTTGCAAGATTATCGAAAATCAATGGGAAAAGTGCATGCTATTTAAGTAGTCACTTTTGCAGAGTACA